ATAATTTCAAATACTTTACTTTTATCTATATAAGGCAATGCGTGAAAGAAGTGCACAGCGGGAGGGAAGTCACTGGTCCGACGTCCTTCTGATATCTCGGCATTTTTTAAGGTCATGATTACATCGTTGACAGCCCACTCTTTTCCCTTCAGTGGCACGTCAATTCCAGAGTAGTGAGAAGCTTCCTGTGTCAGGATTTCATCGCGCTTCGCTAAGTACAATGATGTCCCTAACACAGATTGTATTAAGAAAAACAGAGAGCACGTACCCCAAACACTATGCGCCATTGTGTGACTGTTTTGACAATTATCAAGATTGATCCAATGTGGTGCCAGTTGAAATTTGCAATATTTGAACAAGGGTGGCGAAGGAGCGAAGGGTAACTAGCTCTTAGCAAATATGCAAAAGCAAATATGCAAAAGTATGTATTCACTTACTCGTCGTTGGTCACAGTAAAGTCAAAACACTCATACCACACTTGTGATGTCATACTATTTTATAATTCGGTCATTATATCGAGAGAATAACTGGTTAGTAAGGCGAGGGAAGTAGTAACAGACAACGGGAAAAAACCCACAAGCAGTAGCCACAATATACCCTGAAACTTCAGCCCCAACCCGACATACCCTGCAGTCTCCACCCAACCCGACATACCCTGCAGTCTCCACCCCAACCCGAATACCCTGAAGTCTCCACCTCAACTCGACATACCCTGCAGTCTCCACCCAACTCGACATACCCTGCAGTCTCCACCCCAACTCGACATACCCTGCAGTCTCCACCCCAACCCTATATACCCTGCAGTCTCCACCCCAACCCGACATACCCTGCAGTCTCCACTCCAACCCGACATACCCTGCAGTCTCCACCCCAACCCGACATATCCTGCAGTCTCCACCCCAACCCGACATACCCTGCAGTCTCTACCCCAACCCGACATACCCTGCAGTCTCCACCCCACCCCGACAGACTCCATATTAATTTACTCACAAACATGCTGAAATAAACACTGTTCATTAATAAATTTATGACTCAATCTGATTTAACATGAATACAATAATAACTAATTATTTCGACATAATTAATAAAATATAATACCACATTGTGTTGCCGTGTGATATCTTCACGATAACAAAAGACTACGATGATCCAAACACGCACGACACGCACTCCACTACTTATACTTCAAATAGCTTATTAAATATGGTTTACTCAAACAATCGTGTCAACGCAATCTAATCATTATTCATCTCACTTATTGACATTATCTACTTATTTCTAAATATACTCATCACGCTACCATGTTAAGACATTTCGGAGAAAAGTCGCTATTTATACATTTAAGCAGTGCTGGAGGTTTTTACGTGTTGGGTTTAGGGTAATAAGATTAATAATATAATATTGTATTCAAACATATACAAATGTAAGATAGAATCAATACAACAAAATACTTTATGACGAGGTTGAGTACGTAAAAGCTTGAACAGGGTCACTGAATTATTTTATTTGCACCAAATCTAAAGAAACAATTACTAGGTCGTGAGGTCCTACCACTTAGATAAAAATATATCGTTATCGCGAACAAATAGCTATACACAAAATTCCAATATTATTTATCTATTAAATGTGACAGTACACTTGATAACCTTCTGTCAGCTCGATGTTTGTAACTTGGAAGAGGTTACATTGCTAATTGTAGTCGGAGTCGGCTAAGACTGGACGTATCGCAATGCCCATAGATCATACTAACAATGCATATGTTTTGTTGAGTCGTGTTGTGTCATGTCGTCTCGTCTCGTTCACATATAGTTCCTAGCTAACAATGTACCTGTCATAGTCTTGAGCGAACGAACACACTTAACATTATGCTATATTGTGTATGAAATATATACGGGATATTTGTTCCGTTCATGGGGATTTCTTACTTCCATTCTATTAGCTAAACATACCATATGTTAGGATGACTACCCGGACAGTTGTCTTGATACAATACTACACAGAACAGATGAACATTATTTCAACGTAGAATTCAATTAAAATAAAAAAACATGGATCAGAAAAACATTTCTGCTTTGAATAACTTAAGGTAGCAACAGGGTAAAACGAGTTAAACTATGCTAAACACGTTTGGTGTGTAATTGTTTGAAACGAATCTTTATTCTTCTAACAATTATCAAAATCTGTGTAAATTATGTTATTTCAGTTTTTTCAGCAAAGCGTGGGCAATTGTATATATTTGCCTATAAACCTGCAAACGTCATACAAATAGATTGAATATTTATATTTTTGTGTAAGAGTGATCTATCAAGAGTTAGCATTGACATTGCTGTTAATATGTTAGCCATTTCTCTAGTTCTATAGCTTTAGGTCGATGTTTCTATGTGCGATAGAGCTTGATATAGAGCTTGAGATAATTATATTCAATGAGTTCTATAACCATATATGGTCATAAATGCAGAATACGTAGACCATTTTTTTGTTTATGTAATAGTAGTACACAAGACGTGCATATTGTCTATTCAGTATGTTTTGTAAGTATGTGTGATGCTCTTCAAAATGACCTAGTGGTATTTTGATATGATCAAAATTATGCTAATGAAATGCAAAACAATATTTAAAAAATTCACATGACCAATTTCAGTTGACATCCCACACGTTCTTCAACCTTTTCATTTGTTAAATGATCAGTCCAACTTATTTTCTAAATTCTCCTGTAGCACCAGTTTTCAAAAGCCATTATGTTCCTTATCACTTTATTTCCATACGTCCAACCATACGTATCTAGAATCTGTTTCTTATTTTAATATTTAGATCTCTCCTCAGAAATTTCTTTAGCTCCCAGAATTCCCCCTTGGCTCTGCCAATTCTACGTTTCACTACATGTAAAAATTTGTCATCCGCTGTCATCCACTGCCCTAAATAAATACTTATATTCTTCTACTTCTTCTGGAATTGTTCCTTCTGCATTTACCTTAAGGTAGAACCCTACTCATAAATTAAAAAAGAAATAATTTTATTCACTTGGCAATAAATTGTACTCCTAAAAAAGTTGGGGGTCACCAGCCTTTTTTTTGAGAAATTGATTGTTGTATTTTAGTGGAAAGTCGCCATTTTGACACTATTATAACACTTTTACCACAGGTTGCTATGGCAGACATATTATGCAATATATCAAAATCTAGCCTGGTGACACAGGCTGAAAAAATCATATATTGTTAATGATGGAGTACTTTTTGTTTTTCTGAATTATTTAAATAATCTGGGATTTACAAAATGTCAAAAAATGCAATTTTTCTTTGTCATTGTGTTCTATGGAATTGTTCTAAAATAGCAATTTTCAAGAAATCTTAAGACACGTTTCTCAAAAAGCATAACTGTAACACACAAAATAATGCTATTTCATTGTACCATGAGACATTAGCTTCATGATTGTACATAGTAACTAATGGACATTGTCATGCGATTTATGGTCAATTTTGTCAAAAATTATGAATAGGCTCTACCTCAATTGAATGATCTTTTTTTACCTTACTAGCAGATTTTTGTATTCAGATACATATCATAGGCATCACAAGTATCACATAATTTATTGATCATACATTGTAATTCCCCTTCAGTATCAGAGACATATCGTATGTTATTTTTGTTAACCCCATTGATGTTTATACTTTTAGCTGACTTTAATTCACTGTATAAGTTAAAAAGTATATGTGAAAGTATACATCCCTGTCTTACTCCTCTTTTGATTCTGATTTTCTCTGTATTGTCACTTCTTGTTCTTATTACCACATCTTGGTCCAGTATAGATTTGCAATTAATCATGCTTCATGATCATGATCATCATGATCTGTGATGTTCATGATCTTTCATGATCTACAACAATTTCTCGTGATTAATTGTATCAAATGCTTTGGTGTATAGTCGATAAAGCATAATTTTTTCCGAATTTCAATCACTCCTTCGCTAATTGATTGTAGTATAAAAAGGCCATCCAATGTTGCTCTACTTCTCCTAAACCCTTACTGATTTTTACTAATTCTGGCTTCAATTATGGGCTCAATTCGATTTTTTATCACATAAAGTAGAATTTTGTATAAATGGCTAATTAGACTAATTGGTCGAAAATTAGGAATTAGTATTAAAACACTCTGCACGAAATGTTTTGTCTCATTAATATATTATTGATGACTTTTTGAATTACACTCCTTACATGCTTATCTAAAAATTGGTAAAACTCTGCTTTAATATTGTCACAGTCCACTGCCTTATATTAGGTAGAATCTGTATTGTCATTTGGATCTCTTCTTCTGTAATACAGTTCTTCATCGGTTGAATATTTTGGTAATATGCCATACGAACGCCACAGAGCTTAATGGTATTTATCGATACAAAGCCCATACGAAGTTAACGCTACAGAGCTTGGCGACATTTATGTTTATATGCCCATACGAGCGCTATAGAGCTTGACGATATTTAATATCTGTTATCCTTGTTCGTCACGTAATTAAAACTCGTGCCACTAGTAAGTGGGTTATGACAAAATACGCCTACTCGCAAATGGAAATACTTATTTTTAGTAAATAAAATAACACTTTAGTGATTAAAAATAACGTGTTGATTGCTGTTAATACCATTTTTTTCAAAATATTGTTATACAATAATCATCATTATTTTCGTACGTGGTTGAGACGAGTGACGTCATGGAACATACATTTACAAGAG